AGTTAGAATTTGCCATTCAGGCCTGGAGACCCTGGACTGTTAAGGATCGTACCACCCTCGAAAAAGTCAAACGACGGGCAGCCAAGCTTGTCAGAGGTCATCAAAACCTACCTTACGAAACTAGACTGTCAAATCTCAACCTCTTTCCCTGGACTACAGACAACTCCCTGGTGACTTAATTCAAACGTTTAGAATGTTACGGGGTCAGGACTGCTGCCTCGCATCCGGCGACTTCTTTGAGCTGGCCACCACTACTAGCTTGAGAAGACACCCTCTGAAACTACGTGTGACAGGAGCGAGACTGGACGCAAGGAGGTCCTTCTTCAGCCACAGAGTGGTAAATGCATGGAACGTCCTGCCTGTGGACGTCGTCATGTCCTCATCCGTGGACTCATTTAAGAGAAAGCTTGACCAGTACAGGGATATGTACCTCCACAGCATCAGAAACTAACGAATTCCCCCCCTGTGCCACCGGCCCCACCCAACGTTTTATGTTACAAAGTGTGCTACTCCCTATATTTTAGTAATATTACGTTTTACAATTTTCGCTATCTCCTGACCGCCACATATGTGCTTGCTTCGATATTACTTGGTCCATTCAGAACTGTACTGGAAATTGTACAATTTTGACATAGAAGGCATTCACAGACAAATTCATACCAGTGACCAATGCTTGTTGCATGTAATTACTGCCCTAACTTTTTTCACACTTGCCCTACACATTGTTTTTTTATGACGTTATTGTAACCAAAAGGGAGTTCAAATGCGCTCGCTGACATTTCCCTTAATAAATCTGATCTGATCTGCTGCTGCTGCTGCTGCTGCTGCTGCTCCTAATAATAATACTACTGCTACTATTACTACCATTAAAACTTCTACTAACCCTGTTGTTGCTGATACTAAAAATACTACTACTACTACTACTACTACTTTTACTACTACTACTACCACGAAAATTACTACTACTTCTACAATTCTTATTACTCCTACTACTGGTACTACTACGCTACGACTAATATTATTGCTACTACTACTAATACTACTATCACTGTCGTTTCTACCACTAGGGCTATTACTTGTACCACAAGTAGTATGACGAATGCTGATACTACTACTACTACTACTACTACTACTACTACTACTACTACTACTACTACTACTACTACTACTACTACCAGTAATACTACCAATGCTACCGCTAGTACTTGTATTACTTCGATTACTACCTCTACAAATACTGCTTCTAGTATTAGTACCACTGCTACTGCTGCAACTTCTACTACTAATAATACCGCAAGTTCTACTGCTACTTCCACTTCCACACAGCTGACACTATTACTTCAAATATTAATAGTACTTCTATTACTACTACTACTACTACTACTACTACTACTACTACTACTACTACTACTACTACTACTACGACAAACTCTATTAAAACAATTTCTGCAGCTAGTTCTGTTTCTACTTATAATGCTGATACTACTAATTCACCTAATAATTTTACCACTACTGCCATTGCTGATGTAGCTGCTGCTGCTACTACTACTACCACTGCTACTGCTGCTGCTGCTGCTGCTACTACTACTACTAGTACTACTACTACTACTACTACTACTACTACTACTACTACTACTAATACTACCACTATTGCTACAACATCAACTACAACTACTAATACTTCTAATGCAAATACAACTTCTTCCACAAATAATCTTAATTCTGCTACTACAACAATAACATTTAATTGTGCAGATAACTACTGATAGTTCTACTGCTAAAACTGCTTTTACTACTACTACTACTACCAATGTTGCTAATACTACTATTGTTTTTAATACTAGAATTACATCTACTTCTTCTACCAATACTAATTCTGCTACATGTGCTTTTCATTCTACTGCTATTACTACCACTATTACAAATACTAATGCTAAGACGAATGTTAATACTACTACTTATACCACTGCTATTGGTGACACAACAACTGGCACTAATTCTGCAACTACATCTGCTCACACTGCTATTACTACTACTACTACTACTACTACTACTACTACTACTACTACTACTACTACTACTGCTACTACTACTTCTACTACTACTATTACTACTACTACTACTGCTAGTATTACACTGCTATTGCTTGCCCTAGTACTACTTACACTACTTCTAATACTTCTGCTACTACTACTACTACTACTCGCACTTCTTCTGCAGCTGCAACCACTATTAAAACTACTTCAACTATTATTACTAATGCTACTACGGCAGCTTCTATTACAAACCATACTTCTACGTGTTTTACTGCCATTACTACCACCAATATCTCCTTTGTTTTACAATTACTACTGCTGCTTTTACCAATTCTGCTGATAATACTACTAGTACGATTACTTCTTTTCGACAAATTACTCTAATAATACTACTGACACTAGTACTATTACTAGTACTACTACTGCTAGGATTTGATTACTAATTATTCTAGTACTAATACTACTTCTTCAACCACTAGTACTACTATTATTACTAATACTACATCAACTACTGCGACTACTACTGCTATTATTACCCATTCTATTTCTACCACTGCTACTACTACTTATACTACTACTTCCAATGCGATTGTTTCTTCTACCAATTTTAATACTTCTATCTCCTCTGCTGATGCTACTACTATTGCTGTTAATATTATTTTTTCTTCTTCTTCTTCTTATTCTACCAATACTTCTACCACTACTGTTGTTTTTACTACGGCTACTGCAACTCCTTCTGATACTGCCACTCCCACTTCTACTGATTCTACTACTTCAGCTGCTACTCCTACTACAAATCTAATACCTATACTACTAACTCTGTTAATGCTTCTACTAATTATCTAACTACTATTACTTACACTGCTGCCACTACTAATGCTACTAATCATATCCTCACTGGTGCTTCTTCTGGTAAAAAAAACAACAATTACTACTACTGCAAATGGTAATAATACTGCTAATATTTATACCACTGCCTACTACTACTACTATTACTACTATTGTAAATACTACTATGATTAATACTACCACGCACTCTTCCAATTCTACTACTACTACTCCTA